TAATTACAAATATCCTGAGGATGATTTAATGTTTTGGATCAGAATGGGATCAATCTGATCAAATTAGGATATCCTAAGGAAATACATTGCTATGTGGGTATCGCACCAAATCAAAATGGCGTCTGATCAATTGTGGGGGTGGCACCCAGTTGGACACGGCTCAATTGGACACGAGCCACTCACAGCGCTTGAGACTACAAAGCTCCTAGGCACCGGTCGCTGTGATTGGTGGTGTCCAATCGAGCCGTAATCAATCGGGATCACCCCAATTGCGGCCACGAATTTTCCTCGATGCCCATTCCAGTGTTATAGAGTTCAGTGACACGGACCCGATTGCGCACCGACCCGTTTGCACACGGACCCGATAGCGTGCAGACACGTTTGCACAAGGAGGGTTCCGTTTGCCTACAAGCTGATTGCCTACAGCACCCTTTGCCTACATCTCATTTGCCACAAATTACCAGTCCAGAAGTCGTAAAGGTTCGAATTCCGTCGATACCGTTTATATCCTCGTTTACACCCAGGGTTCGATCCGAGTCGGAATGTAAGAACCAACCAACTGCAGTCGAATATTCCCCTGTTACAGTCGAATGACAAAGGAATGCTCGACTGCAGTTGGTTGGTTCTTACATTCCGATTCGGATCGAACCCTGGGTGTAAACGAGGAATATGTGTTTTCAAAAATTGCAAAATATGCGATGTGTAATTAATAAATTGTATTTGAAAATATAAATTAATTCTACACACACACACACACACACACACACACACACACACACACACACACACACACAAGAATAATAAAAAACCAATATATGTTAAAAATGAAAAAAATTTTTTTCCTTATATTTGAACTTGATTTATATACAGTTAACGTTTAATATAACGTATAAAAATTAGTATATGAAACCATATTCGAGACGATCATAAAAACAGAAATTAAACGTTTCAATACAGAGCCATATACATAACGTGCATTCGTTTATGCAGCGGTTAGCGCAGAAGTATTACTTTATCCTTGTTGTTCACCGAGTGTTGAACAAAGATTAAATGATACTCACTGCTCTAACCGCTGCATAAACGAATGCACGCATAGAGTTTAACATGCCAAAATTATACTGTGCGCATGATTTTACCGCGAGATAAAATTTTTAATGTGAAATCCATGTTCAATGGAACCCCGAAAATACATATTGTAAGTAAAATTAATATAATCTATAATTTTCTTTGTGAGCTGTTGAGCTGTAATATTACACGATTATGGGTCGAAAAATAAACCAGCATCATGTAATTTCATACAAATACATTTTCAGTGTAAGAAAAATATTTCTGTATCTATTTTGTGTTTATGGAATGTAATACGCATTTAGATATAAAAGTTTGTTTTATATATTTATTTTGTTTAAGTCGTGTTAAATTTTATCTCGGAAGGGGAAGGGATAACACATTACTCTTTACAATATCATCCTCGTATATATATTTGTAAAGTACAATAGTATACTCCCTAGTACATTAATATACTCGCTCAAAGTAACGTAATAAGAAAAATTTGAAAGAAACGCTTGAGAAAAATTAAAAACGATATAGTTTAAGTATAAACAGATTTAAAATGTTAATTTTCCATATTCGAGTTTAATAGTGAGTCAAATTTTGCAAAAAGAAACTAAATACACAAAGCTGAAACTTTAATCTGTTCCATAACTGAAATTATTGCTTTCAATTAATTAACGAAATACATCTGTGTTATTTTTCATTTGGACATATCTGGCCCAAGCAGGAAAATCTTTAATTCCGTAAACGAAAACACCCCATGTAGGGAAGAAAATGACTTCTACTATCAAACTATAAATTGCAGGTGCACAGCCTCCAGCAATCAACCAACTTGTAGGGATATGTCCTGCGATTGTTACAATTGCGTTCGGTGGTGTGCCAACTGGCAAGCGAAATGAAAATGAACACATCAAGGTGGCTGGTATCATTAAGTACATAGGATGTATTTCCATTGCCACACACTGAAAAACAGATAAATGAAATTTAATTTAATACAATGAAAAAATAATGGTAAAATCTAAATGAGCGTTAGGAGTTAATGATGGATATTATGTAACGCTATGTTAACTAATAATACGCTATTGATATGTCACAATTTAATTTTGTGTTTCGGCTCACTATTTGAGCCATCCTCAGCAATAAAAAAATTACCGCTTATCGCACTATAATATCTGTCGAACTGCGTCTCGCACAATCGTAGTTCCGACCTCCAATAATGCAGTCGCAGTGGAAATGTAGTGAGAGACAATCATCTTCAACATGGTTTAATGTTGTGCCAACCAGTTGCTTAGCTGAGAAGGGAACCTCTCGAGGTGATAAATTCTGATTTTAATGAAACTTTGTGAACTTGTGTGTGTGTAGCTTACATAAAGAGATGAATTTAGAAAATATCAGTTGCGGCTAAAAAATGGTTTGAAGGGGTGAAATTACCCCTAACGTATATAGCGGTTTTCAGCTTTTTCCGTGATATCTCGAAAAATATTTGAGATATAAAAAATGTTTTATACAAAAGTTTTACAACAAAATCAGCTGTATTCATTCGCGTTTTTAGAACAATGATTTACCAATTTTTTGTCAAATTTCCAAAAAAAAATTGTTAAATAATTCTTCTTAAAAAATATCATTGAATAGAGGTAATTTTATTGTAAAACTTTTGTATTTTTACATCCTCGCTTTTCACCTGATTTAAATTACGAATATATATATATTGTTATGTCCAGACTCCACTGTTCTTTTCTTCGATTAGAATTTTCGTCATCACCATAAGGGTCATTAACAAGTAACACAGGTAGACCAACTGTATCTGCCGTAGGAAGTTTCGATAGCTGCGAGCCGATTAACGTTCGCCCTTTTTTTTTAGGAAATAATCCACTCGGGACACAGTCGTTAAGGATTATAACCGAAACAGCGGTTGTCCTTAATAAATGACAAGTGTGGCTCTATGATTATCGAACATCCGGCAAATAGTCGATGACAAAAAATCATTTAAGACACATATCTCAGTATCCCTTTTCACAACCGATACCCTTAATCCTAATCCTAGATTAGCCTAATGCCACAACTAGACTTGCACACGGCACTACTAACTAGCGAATATAAAAGGAGGGCCTTCGCAAACAGAGGACAGTTTAAAACTACCTACCTAGGGCGAACCTCTTCCAGTCCGTTAGTTAAATCAATTCAGTCAAATCAAACCTAGTCAGTTGAAAGTTATCGTCGGGCCGCAATCAAATCGCCGCGATCAGCGATCTTAGTCGCGAAAAAGTTTCGAGTGGAGGTCTCCAGACATCCAATTGAGGCCACTTCTGGGTCCAAATCTGCACACGACCTTCACCGAGATCGAACCACCGGCAATCATTTCGAAGTCCGGAAGCTGCTAAACAGCAGTAAGTCATTTCTTTTAATTATTTACTTCGCGAATCTAACTAGATCACTCTCTAGCGAAACACTAACCCCTCTCAGTCTCTGCACTCTCAATTTTGCTTCCATAATATCCTATTATTTCACCTGTCATCCTTATCCTTCCACGTTCATCGATTTCTTCGATGAACTCTATATTCCTTATTTGGAAGTCCGCTTAATACGCGAGCTTCACTCTTTTATCTCCCTTCCTCTTATGCAGAGTCTGATAATAAGGCATGTCACTTAATTATTATAGTGAGTGATCGGCAACGCGCACGCCTTTCCCGTGCAGCTAAGCGGTTACGCGCCCGACGGTTGAGAGAAGTCCGTCGGCTCTTGGAGGAAGCCTACCAAGAATTCTGCGCTAATTTAGATAACAATTATGATAACAATAATTTATTAGATAACAATTATGACAACAATAATTTATTAGATAACAATTATGGTAACAATAATTTATTAGATAACAATCACAATAACGATAATTTAATAGATAATCATCCAGTCGAAAGTCCTCCTCCTCGGTCCCCTTCTCCTGCAATAGTTTATCCCGTCGCAACCCCTCCTCCTCGAATTCCTTCACCTGCCATTTCGGATGCTTTAACCGAAAGTATTTTTCCCGACACTTCGCCTTACACTCCCGATTCCTCCATTCAGTCAGTCCCTCCATCTCCTCGTCCTCGTTACCATTTCCACTATGGAATCCTCAATCACTAGCCTCTCTTTTTTCCCGATTCTAAATATCCACCGAACCCCTTCCTCCGAATACATTTACTATAAATTTCATAGATGCGGATCCTGATAGCATCCGGAATGCCATAACTGGCCAACCACTCGAAGTCCTTATCCCAGTTTACCTTCTACACTCCCTCCATCCTTTCTTAGTCCCCGTAGCCTTCTTCCTAAATTTCTTTCCTCCCTCATGTATAATTAGAGAGATAAGATGAATACAACTTTAAACACACACACACACGCGCACGCGCGGTTAGTTATAACAACAATTGTTTTAAGTAATATTATGATTTAAATTGTAGAGTATAATTATAATTTTAAGTATCAATAGTACAGTCATACTGTACATTAAGTACAGTCATACTGTACTTAAAATTTAATATTAACAATAAAAGTAGAATATGTTGAACATGATGGTCCTCAATCTACATTTATTCTAGGATTATAAGACCTCGTACCTACTCCCACCCCGCGTCAGAAATCGCATATGGTCCGGTCCCGAGTTATAAGGATTAAGTTCCTTGACTCTAAAGTCGGATCGACGATCGCACTGCTCATCGGAAACAGGCGTCATATCGTCCCTTCAGGACGTTGACCCATATTCCAGAGCAATAAAAGGTGCATGCGTGACATAGCATCTGCTCTAACGTCCTTCCATGCTTTCCCCTTTTTATCCTTTTCTTTCTCTAAACCTATTCACCCACATTATCGGAGCTTGGACGTAACAATATAATCCCGCATGTAATCATAGTATAAAGACGACAAACACCTGTAATCAATGAATACCTGTAATACCTACCTGTAACTTAGACACGTAAGAACCTTTATTAAACATACTCCTACATTCACCTACGATAAAAACCTATAATAAATACCTATAATAAATACCTGTAATATCTACCTGTAATCTAGACACATAAGAACCTTCCTTAAACATATTCTTACCTTTACCTAATTAAGGTATTCAATAATTCTAAGCCATCATAGATGTACATTCTCGATTACACCTTCATTGAACACATCAATAATTCTAAGTCACCATATACACATATTATACTATAATTTGGGAGACCCAGTATATATACCTTTTATAATAAATCTTTCAACACTTCATAACTAAAAGATAACTCACTTAAAACTCTGACCCAGATAAGAAATTGAAAAAACAGGAAGCCAAAATCCACTCTGTTTATTCCAACTCGAATAACTGACTGTATTTATGCTAATACCATCAATCACAGTCAGCAACGCAAAATAAATACAGAATAAATATACTAACATTACACGTTCACAATCCGATCGCAAGAACTCTGCTAATCGCAAGGTCTCGACACAATAAGGTTGAATTACACCTTATTATTGGGAGTCGTCTAGATTATACAGCAGACCAGGTAATCGGAGCACTGCCATTTAGCTTGTTTCATGAATTAAGGTTGAAGTATACCTTAATTGCTAGAATATCCATAAATCGGCAGGCATTACACGTTCATCGTCTGACCATTGAATTATTGCCGATTGCAACGACTCGGTGCTTTAAGGTTGAACTACACCTTACTGGCGGGAGTCGTCTAAATCCGAGTAACTCGTTCAATAATCAGAGACTTGCCAATTGCTACGATTTAGACTGTGGGGTTGAATTACACCTCACGGGCTGGAATCGTTCCAATCAAGCAAGCACTTTTAACAGATACACGCATGTGTCCACCGGGACGATTCGTTAATAACAGCTGAGTGATAGAAATATCCGAACGCGATTCTTGGCTTAATACAGCTGTCTGTTGCATGACCACTTTTTACTTTAATTATATAGAAGAAACCGCAGTCTGTCGAACTTGCTACGAGGAAAATACTTTATTGCCTCGGCGTTCGATTGCATTACACGTCATTACATACATTTTGGAGTAGAATCTACGGACTATCATTACGACGCCTGTAACTCACTACTACCTACCGCGAGATTTACTTCCACCTGCCCTGCATGCTTGGGCGTAATCCGACATTACGAGCAGTACCTCATCCACTCTAATAACACACATCCCTCGCTTAACGGGCCTATCGTGATTCCAGTTAAAGAAATGTGTCGAAATTAACAGACGCATGTCGTTCAGACTACGAAACGCGCCAGCCACATTTCAGAGGCTGATGGACAAGGTTTTAGATGGACAAGCGGCTTACAGGAAGTTGAGTTATTCGTATACCTTGACGATATAGTGATCTACGCGAGCAGTTTAATGGAACACGCACAGAAGTTCAATAAGCTAGCCGAACGGAAAGCCAATTTAAAACTACAGCTGGATAAGTGCGAATTTCTTAGAAAAGAAGTTACTTACTTAGGGTACGTTATTAGCGAATCGGGTGTGAAACCAGACCCCAAAAAGGTAGAAGCAGTTAAACAATTTTCGCGAGCGCGAAACGCTAAAAACAATTCCTTGTTTTAGCAGGATATTACCGCCGTTTCATAAATAACTTTTCACACATAGCCAAACCTCTTACAGTCTTACTTAAGAAGGATAAGGTATTTGATTGGCGCGATTCACAAGAGGAAGTGTTCACCAAACTCCGCGAGTATTTGTGTAAGGAACCTTTACTTGTGCATCCAGACTTCACCAAGCCTTTCATTTTGACGACCGATGCATCTGCATATGCCATCGGAGGTATACTTAGTCAGGGAAAGATAGGTAAAGACAGACCAATAGCGTACGCGTCGAGATTACTAAATAATGTAGGACAAAACTACGCGACGATAGAAAAGGAATCGTTAGCCATAATATATTGCACGAATCATTTTAGACCCTACTTATACGGGAACAAATTTACGATATTAACG